CTCAAGAGCCTCCTCCACCACCACAATTCAAAGACATCAATTCTTCGGCAGCTGGCCTTCTTTATGGTCCATCTCTCATCTCCATACATCACTACAGGAAAAACCATAGCTTTGAATATGCAGACCTTTGTCGGCAAGGTGATGTCTTTGCTTTTTAAGATGCTGTCTAGGTTTGTCATCGCTTTCCTCCCAAGAAGCAGGTGTCTTTTAATTTCATGGCTGCTGTCTCCATCTGCAGTGATCATCGAGCCCAAGAAAGTAAAATCTGTCACTGCCTCCGTATCTTCCCCTTCTATTTCCCAGGAGGTGATGGGACCCGTGGCCATGATCTTCTTTTTTTAGATGTTGAGCTTCAGACCATTTTTTGTGCTTTCCTCTTTCACCCTCATTAAGAGGTTCCTTAATTCCTCCTCACTTTCTGCCATCAGAGTGGTATCATCTGCATATCGGAGGTTGTTGATATTTCTTCCGGCAATCTTAATTCCGGCTTGGGATTCCTCCAGTCCAGCCTTCCGCCATCAGCTTAGCGTAGTTTAAATGACATTTAAAAAGGGGCGCAGCCGTGCCATTTGAGAGTTCTCCCTTTGAGCACAAGAGGAATCTTAGTTTTAGTTTTTCAGTTCTAATTCCCAGAAAACTCAGTTTTAAGGCTTGAATTGCAGGTTCTTAAGAGAGATAGGAGCTGCTGCTTTTAGGGGAGACTCCCGTACCCAAGAATCCCAGGCTGATTCTGTTGGAGTTTTGACAACCTCACACACGGCCTGTAGTTTGCTTGGCTGGGAGGGAAGTTTCTGGGCCGGGGTGACTGTCAATCTAGGCAGCACGAACCAATCATTCTTTCCCACCTCTGAGTTCAGAGAGAGACCCGCCTCTCTGCTAAGTGTCCTCTTTCCCTCTCTTGTGTGTTTCGAAGTCAGTTATTTGTTTGCTATTAGTTTGGTGTTTACTGTTTCCAACTGTAAGTAATTAACCGTTTTTATAACTTATATTACTAATGTCTCAGAGTGAGTTACTGAAACTGTAAGTGACAATTCATGAGAAAGGGGTGGACTACTCTGAGGATCTTAAACTATTTATTCTCCTCTGTGGATCTCTATACTTCTACCGCATAGCAAAAAAAAAAAGGGGGGGGAGTTGATTCAAAACTCTGCAACAGATTCTGAGATACTGTGAGGTGTAGTCCAAAACCACAACAATAATATTTATCTCTGGCTAAAAGTTGAGGTTTAGTCTTCAGATCAGTTCAGAGGTTCAGTTTTTAGTTCATTTTAAGAAACAGAGGGCAAATCGCAAAAAGGAGACGTTGAGACAGGCACATGGGATCCGGAGCTTGCCAGTTCCAGTTGGGCTTTAACAGTATCCCTTCCTTTAACCCCAATTGCCATCTAAACTCCTGGGGGGAAATCCACATCGTTCGGGTGCTCAACTAGCCTCAATTTCTGCTTCCTGGAGTCCAGTATGCCTCAGTAGTTGACCCC